TTGTTGTTATCTCTGTTGTTATTCAGACCAGTCAGCTGGCTGCTCATAACAGCATCAAAGCATTGATTAAGGCCAGTTCCATTGTTTGAAGTGTACTCATACATTTTAGAAGGATTAAGCACCTGGACCGATCAACATCTGCTTTTTATGATTCCATAAAACTCCATGTTCATTCTGCTGGATGCTCTTCTTGTACTGCCATGTATACACATGTCTCTGGGGCTTTTCTTCAGTTTCATTGCTCTATACATCACATCTTAAATTCTCATTTGGTCATCATTTGCAAAGTATGTGTACTCTCTAAAGTATTATACTAATCTTTTTTAGATCCTTCCATCTGCACACCCAACACCCTTTTACACCACAATTACTGATCATCAACATTTGTTATTCAACCATGACAATGAGCATGAGCCACAACCTCCAACCTCCAACCTTCCATCCTTCCACACTTCATTGACTGATTATCTATACCCTGTCCATCACTTGTCTGTTTCATGCCTGTTCTTTATATCAGGAATATCTCTGAGTCTGGGTGCTTGATTCTTTGATTCTCAGGCTCTCAGGAAGCAAATGGATACCTTGAGAGGTGTGTGGGCACAAGATGATCCTCCATCATGAATTTAAGGATTGAATGTTTGATCTCAGAAAAGATATAATAACAGTTGGAAGGTGCTGGAATCAGGAGAATTGAAAACTTAGTGGTATAGATTTCCCAGAGGAGATGTGTAAAGTTGAAGATGCCCGTTCTTGGAGATGCTTTGGGGCTGGGATGGGGGATGGTGAGGTTGGCAAGGCAGCAAGTCAAGAGAAGCATGAGTTAAGGGTTTTCAATGAAGCTTGATGGACCTGTCAATGGTAACTCCATGTCAGCCATCTGCATCTACACTTGGTGTTCCTCCCTTGACTTTACTGCTCAGCATTTATTTCTTCTTGAATACAGCTAACCAAAGTTTCTTTCTTCTGTCAATATGCATATGAGCATATGAAGAGGACTTAGCCATGGGTATATATAGAGCACACTTGTGTCAGCAATCAAAATTGCTCCAATTCCCTATCTCTCCACACAGTTATCATCCATGCCATTCTCCTCCCTCCCTCAGAACCCTAATGATCAACATTGGGACAATAATTCATATGTATGTCTAAGTGCCTGCACCATTAAATACTATGACAGCTTACAGAAGAGTAACATTGATTCAAAAAAGCCCAATTTTCCTTCCTGCTCCCATTTTACTCATGCAATCCAAGGCTGGACATCCTGGGCTAGGATAGGTTTTGATTGAAGTACATTGGGCTGGTATGGTTCTATGTCAAATACAGAGATCACTGATTCCTGTATATATGCATCTGAAAATGGTCCATGGACAAGGAAAATGATCAATGTTGGAAAGACAATCAGTTGTTAATATAAAATAGCATGAAAGCTTATGGAAAAATAGTCATCGCATCTGACAAAACTCCTAACAAAGCACCAGACCAGGTGTAGTCTAAAATGCTGTCTAGTACATACATCTTCAGAAGGCTCACAACCAGCTGAGCAACCTTATGAGAAAATAAAGAGCTATTCTTAGTGTGATATGATATTGTCTAGTTTCACTTACCAGCAACAGATTGTATATGGCTCCTCCTTCTACAAGAGTTAGTAGCACATGCCACACTTTGTGGTACTGTTGCTGCTCACTCTGAAAATTATGTTGTAAAATTTTATATATCCCCTATAAATATCTAGCATCAAATTATCACAAGATGTTATGGTGTATTAGAAAACTGACAATAGGATCCAAGCAATGTATGATGTAGCAATGAGATTTGTGATCAGCGATAGTACTATTGCTATTATAGGAGCATATGTGATAAAGATGGAGAAACTTGAGCTTATTTCCAACAGAATTTCCTAGGCAACCATGATTCCTGAATAGAGATGAGTACCACTCAAATGAGAATGGAGATGCATATACCAGCCAAAGCAGTACACAGCATAATTGAAACATATGCTGCCCAATGATGTCTCCCAAAGATTGACTCCATGCATGCCATATGATGAATGTGTCAATGATGACTTGTTATGAACATATTTATATGTTAAATACATTATGGATGATTTTGGCAAGTAAAAACATACAATCAGCATAGGTGGCCATAGTGATATGATGTCAAAGATAATCATCCCATGATTGAGCCCTTTCCAACTAGGGTCTTCCAATTTTGTGTATACGATGACCAACATCATTGACAGAGCATCTACAAGAGATAATGTGATCAAGTTTAGTAAAACTGTAATCAACCATCACCCAGAAGCTGTGCTTTCGGTGTCTAAGGATCATTGTGAATGAGTGTGTAAGTTAATTAATCATTCAGAGATACGTACATGACAAGAGAGTAGACAACATTAATAAAGACTGGTATCAAGGTTCCTGTTGAGTGAAGTTCATCATTGAGGGATGAGCTTATATGGAGGAAATTTCAGCCTGCACACACCAGTACACAGCATGTGTTCAGCAAGAACTGGTATGTGCTGCTCCAACAAAGGCCGGCCAACACGACTGATACTCGATTGTTCATCAGGTGTCATTTTGACAAATGGCAAGGATTGAAGAAGTGGATGGATGCCAGCGGTGACTGAGGCAACTAAGTTTGAAAGCAAATATACATCAAAAGATCCACATATATAACTGTCGTACGGATAATTCCGTCAGAGATATGCTTTTTTGTTCACCGTTGAACAAGGGCTAATGCCGAATGCAATCATTGCAGATTTTGACAATAATCGTGGAAATTCTGACCACCAGGTAGAGCATGCCCAGGCAGGATCCAGGGCAGGTATCCAGGGCATTTTGTGTGTGTGTGATGGTGGGCATGCGTGAGTTTAAATCATACATGGATGGGTCTCAACGACAAAAATAAGTTTGTGTATATTCTGAGCTGATCAGATTATGTTTCGTCGAGGTCATCCATAGAAGGCCAATAGTGGAGCTCCGAGTGTGATGAAAAGGGAAATATGCATCAAGATATAGAAGTATCAGTTCCAAGTCCGTGGATCAGAGTTTATATTCAAGTTTGCATTGGAAAGGATAATGAACTCAGCCTCAAAACATATTGTCCATGGCCTCGTGCACCGGAACTCTACCACCTTCAGCTCAAGATCTCCGAACCTTGGGTTCAAAACTCTATCTGAGTTCAATAAAGCTTGACCGGGGTTTCTATAAACAGCGATCTCATCACATCAAGGAGGAAGGAACTGTGCAAAGAAGTTTTCGGCAACATCAGTTACCTGTTGTATGCAGCGATTGCACCCATATTTGGCTGTGAATTGAAAGGCTTTGGCTGTGGAACAAACGGTTGACTGTTTTGGAAATCTTCTGTGTCGACATAACTCAGCAAAAGAAGTACCAGAGGGGCAATGAACCCTGTTTTTTTTTTAGGAGACGGTGGAGCCTATCAATAGCGCACCATCTGTTGGTGTCTCATGCATACAGACAACAGAAACAAGTGCACATTCTCGTCCTCCAACATCTTCTTAATGAAATTCTTCCTTTACATGCCATCTGCTCCTTCCTCAGCCCTTACCTTCACCTCCCCAATCATACTCCCTTCCCCTTTCCCTCTCTGTCCCTCGCACTCTCAAGCGATACGTGCAATGGATCCAACATACCTCGCGAGCGCAGCCTGTCTCGATATAAGCGGATGGTTGATCTTTGTGTCCTGGTCGATCTCGATCCTCTGAATTCATCTGGACCCTGTGATCTTCTCGGTGTCATTGATGGGCATATCGGTCTGCAATTGCATAGAGATTGTCAGCGTGATTTTCAGATGGGAGAGTGGAGATACTTGTCGACGTGGAGGTGCGCCTTGTTCGGATTTGGGTTCAGTTCGAATTGTCATTTGAGTCTTCGTCCATCGTTGATCTTACCCTCTCAGGTTCTCTATCCTTGGTGCCTTCACCATCTTCATTCGAGTCTAGGTCCGGCAAAATGACAGTAGGTGGAGCATCTGCATCTCAACGTCGACATTGGGGCCTGATTCTTATGACCTAAGTATGGCGATGCATGGGGAGGTGACAGGGAAATGGCAATGAGAACTAGTTTCTGCGTAATAGAGAGAGAGGAAAAGTTAAAAGAGTGGCTAAGAGGATGTCACCCTCCGTGGAGGAGGGAAAAATTAGAATTCCTGCTCAAACAATGTGCATTAAGGGGGAATCGAACCCCCGGCGGGTCGAGATCCATAGAATCCTCGCAATGGCAACGACCCAGGTTACCACTACCCCATTAATGCGATACAGGTCTTGGATATAACAGTGAAAGCGAGAGTCGTCGGACAGAACCTCATTATGTATGGTTGGATAGTGTTGTGGATGGGTAGAGGCGCTCTGGAGATGAGAATAGCGTTGTAGAGGATTCGAAAGAGAACTCACCTCACTGGCAATGCATAGATGTCTACCTATCGAATTGAGCATTCACCTATCGAATTGAGCATTCACCTATCGAATTGAGCAGAGGCATCACCGGTCACCCTATGAACGAAGGAGTAGGTATTTCCTTCAGATCAAGTGACTGGTTTACCACTCGGGTTTCAAGAGGCTCGTCTTCGCGATAGGAGGGCAGGGGAGAGTACGGATTGTGTGCAATTGAGAGCGGTACTGTTGTATAACAAGGCAGACTGGTTAGTGGGTATCGCAGGAGCAGAACTCGTGAGACTGACTATATGCGTGAGAATGGCCTAATATTCTGTTGAAAAAGTTTCCATAACCTCTATCAACTACATAACTTGATTAGATATGGGACGCGTATTGAATGCTACATGAGGATAAGCACCGATCAAGAAGATTCCAGAGAGCGTACCGCAGTAATCAGTGGTTCATTCAACGTGTATGGCGAGGTAGGAGGTAGAAAAAGTGCAGGAGTGAGCAACATCCTTGAGCGGAATAGAGGACAGTCTCGTCCGGTATCGGTTCAGTTTCCGACTCAGCACAGCCACTATGAGGTGACGTGATTCCCAATCTTCCGATGGCCGTGGAATCTGGATCTCCGAGACAACCCGTCAGCTTGTCGAACATGTCCATGCTCTGACAGAATGAAACTCTATCTTTGACGCAGCTCTCCTGCTGCATCTTCATCTGAGTTTCTTTGCTTTCTGTCTGGACAAGACTTAAGGAAGATCACTGCCAAATACGCCTGCAAGTCTTACTGTTGAGGATAAGGGAATGGGTGCGTCTTGGACAGCATAAACCACCATTACCAGGCCAAACCGAAGAACAACTCTAAGGAAACGAACGACATAGCTCGTGCTGTCGACACTCCCGACTCGGATGAGAATTGTCCACGGTGTACCGTCCGTTCCTTGCTCCAAGTAATCTTGCACCTCGACTCCAAAGATAATCGCTTTGGGGTAGGTCTAATAGGGGCATCGGACTATTTCTCAGGACATTCTTCTGAGTCGTCACCCTATCAGTTTGTACTTCACCGGGTGGCATAATGAACCAGATACCCTCATCTTTATTTGTACTCAGAGCGGTACCCTTCATATCACAAGATTAGACAGAAGATAACAGCGTACTGAGGTCTATGAATGAACTTCCCTTTCCTCCTGAGGCATAGATGCCACGTCAACTCTGTTCTCTGTAGTTGGGCATATTACTTACCTTTGCTTCAGTTTACAATCTCAGAACCAGATTCATACGCCTCAAGCTGACCTTCAAGAAGTAATCTCCAAAGCACTGACGATACTGTTCTTATTGTCTCATTGACTGCTCATTTTCGCTCAACACAACACTCTAACATCCGTTAACTTCGTAAAAAAAATGCTCAGAGCCTCTCTATCACGGGTGTGGCTCACCCTCCTTTCTTAATCCATCGCTGTGGTCGGATAATAGCGTCAGAAAAGATGATTGTCTCAAACAGCTATGCTACATGAACTATCTACTCACCGTCATGCGATCGAAATTCGATTAGGTTTCGATTTCCGGAAATCGGACGCCGGCTTCATCCCTTCTCATATATCTTTCACACACTCCGTCATTTGCAACTTGCAATTTCCACGAAGCATTCGGCAAATTAACTGCGTTGTTCGCCTCACACAAAGGTTAGCTTGAACCTTGAACCATAAGCCGATATTTTCTGAAGGGTTTGTTCAGATTATATCCACCATAGCTTTACAAAACGATGGCAGATGCATGGCAGATGCCCAAACCTTTTGAGACCAAGCTGGCTTGGCGTTTCAATGAGTTTTTGGGTTCGACATCCTTCCTGAGCGACATCTTATGTGAGTGTACTTTACACTGTTAGCAATCTGGATAAGAAACTTCAAACATACGGTCATCGTCTCTGGAAAGTTTCTGCAAAGCTTCAGACAGAATAGATGGCTAGTTTGAAGTATGCAGAATCATAATCTGAGATGAGCTAACCATATGCGTTGCTTTCTCGCCTCAGAGGCCATATCTGTTCTGCACTGTCAGCTTCTGACTTCATATCCTCATGCCATTCACCCCGTCATTCTACTACCTGCAGCTACTGAAGATAGGAAATGCAAGATCCGCCACGTTATAAAGGCTTGAATCCATGAAACATCCTCCTTGTCTCTTATCCCACATTTGAGCCTACTTGGTACAATGTTGAAATTCATCGTTGTCAACGTTCTCCTTGCGACTTCTGCTTTGGCTACACCGTTGACGACTGTGTACGTTGCTTCTTACAACTTGTTAATTGTTTCAACATGGCTGATGGTACACCGCAGTTTCCAGTGCGGGTCCATCGCCCATCCAGACAGTGTTGCAGCTGCTCAGGACCGCATTTCTGCAAGCTCCCTGAATGGTACTCAAGCTCTGAAAGCGCAAGGCGCCTTCACCGTCCCTGGAAGTCATAGTTTTCCTGTCGGCGCCAGCCCCGCTAACAACTGACACTCATTGCAGGTTATCTGGAATGTCTTCTACGACCAGGACAACCCCAAAGATGGAAATATTTCGTAGGCATCACCATCTACTTATGATCTGGATGCTCTCAATTATTTATATGTAGAGACGCCATGATTACCCAACAGATCAACGTTATGAACGCATCCTTCCAACAAATATGCCTATCCTTCGCTGTCACTAGTGTTCGTCGCTTTGGAGTCCCCTGCAATGTATTACATGGTGCTGCTCATGGTAATGAGGTCGAGCAGCAGCTCAAGTCATATCATCAGGGCGATGCCAAGACCCTCAACATCTACACAGTCGGGTCCGTCTATATAAACATGGTTGCTTTTCTTTTTTGACATTGCATACAGATTGAACTTTAACTTGGATTATCTCGGATGGTCTTCCTACCCTTGGAATTATCACGACAATCCAATCAACGATGGTCTTGTCCTTGATTATGATACTCTTCCTGGTGGTGCATACAAACATATGAACACAGGAAAGGAAAGTAGACAGTTGTACATTTACGGCCTTTGAAGTTTCATTAGCTCTTTCTCCAGGCCATGTTGCATGAAGTTGGACACTGGGTCGGCCTCCTCCATACCTTTGATGGTGGCTGCACTGGAGGTGATCATGTAGCTGATACTCCTGCTGAGGCAAGTTCTGCATCAGGCTGTCCTACTGGCAGGGACACATGCCTCGATGTCGGTGTCGATCCTATTGGTAAGTTCAACTCACCCTATGCTCATTTGAAGGTGTTCTGAGAGACATGCACTGTCAGACAACTTCATGGATTACACTGTTGAAACATGCAAAACCCGTTTCACGCCTGGCCAGTACAGCCGTATGGTCCAGATGCTGTCCACTTACCGCGGAATCGATTTGTAGCGAGCGCTTCAGTTGAGAACCCAGACAGATGTATATTCACCCAATATGAATGGTTGATTGTATATATGAAGTATAGAAGTATGGATAATCATGGACATACTTTGTGCTTGCAATAATTTA